AAAAAAAAAAAAAAAAAAAAAAAACTGAGGAAAACAGAGGTAGGTGGGGAAGGTTGTCTAAGGCAAAAGCATCTGTAAATGGCAGAACTAAGAGTTGAAACCCAGAACTAAGTGCTGCAAGTCCTAATGCTGTCTGCCATGGCACGTTGCTTTTTTCAGTTGTAAACCCAGTTAAGTGAACAGGTTGCTCCTTTAAAATGCCCTTAAAAGCGTTAAGGACTGTCAGTCATTTGCATCTTACAGTGCGTTGGTTTAATCAGATTGCTGTCCCTGCTCAAACTGGACTGAGATGAGCCACGCTGAAGGGATTTTGATATGTGCGTGTTGGGGGTGTGCTGAGTTGGTCGGTGGGGACTTGTGCGCCAGCCTCCCCAACCTGGATCACTGGACGTCCACAGGCAGGAGCGAAGTCCTGGTCCTGGTCTCTAACAGCGAGTGCAAACATCTGCTACCCTTAAATTGGGCATTCGTGAGCAAATTTTTATCAAGTCTCCTCTGGGTGCCAGGCTTCTAGGCACTTGAGATACATACATTATTGAACAAAACAGATAAAAATCTAAAAAATCCTTGCCCTTGTAGAGCTCCACCTCCAGTGAAGTGGGAGAGGCAGACAGCAAACAAGCATATAAAGAATTCACATAGGCCAGGCGCGGCGGCTCACGCCTGTAATTCCAGCACTTTGGGAGGCTGAGGCGGGCAGATTGTTTGAGCTCAGGAGTTCGAGACCAGCCTGAGCAAGAGCGAGACCCCGTCTCTACTAAAAATAGAAAGAAATTAATTGGACAACTAAAAATATATAGAAAAAACTAGCCGGGCATGGTGGCGCATGCCTGTAGTCCCAGCTACTCGGGAGGCTGAGGCAGGAGGATCGCTTGAGCCCAGGAGTCTGAGGTTGCTGTGAGCTAGGCTGACGCCACGGCACTCTAGCCTAGGCAACACAGTGAGACTCTGTCTCAAAAAAAAAAAAAAAAAAAGAATTCACATAGCAAGTTAAAAGCTGAGAAGTGCTATGAAGAAAATCAACCTGGGTCAGGGGTGAGGACTGAGAGTGTTCGGGATGAGGACAATGTAGTTTAAATAGCACAGCCATGGAAGACCTAATCAAGAAGGTGACTTTTGAGGAAAGATGTCAAGGAACAGGGTGAGTTAGCCAAGCAGACATGTGGGGGAAGATTATCCCATGCAGAAGAAATATCCAGTACAAAGGCCTCAGGGAGAGCATGACCAGTGTGTTCGAGGAATGGAAGAAGGCCAGGGTGGCTGGAGCAGAGTCAGCAAGAGGAGAATGGGGGACAAAAGGTCACAGAGATAATAAGGGCCTGATCATTGCAACCTTGGAGACCCCTTTAAGGACTTCGGCTTTTACTCTTGGTCGATAATGGAGGTGAGACGAGAAGTGGTCAGATTTTGAATCTATTAATATTTCTACTGTAGAGTCAACAACACTTGTTGAAATATTGGATGAAGCATGTAAGAGAAATAAAGATGACTATAAAGAAACAGCTAGCACATCTCAAACTGCAAAAACCCCAACAAAGAAAAAATTGTCAAAGCAGCCATCGGGAAAAAAAAGACATAACTTTCAAAGTACCGATAATAAGACTGACAACTACTTTTGAATAGAAACTATGCGCAGTAACGCACAATAGAATGACATCTTTGAAGTGCTGATATTAAAAAAAAACCTAGAAAAGTATTCTTCAGAAATGTAGGTAGAATAGACATTTTGAACAAACGGAAGCTGAGATAATTTGCCTCCGGTTGATCACCACTGCAAGAAATCCTAAAGAAAGTTTTTTTGTTGTTGAATGCAAATGACTCTATATGGAAACATGAAACTACAGGAAGGAATAAAGAGCACCAGAAAGAATAAATACGGGGTGTGTATAAAATCGTTTTGACTGTTTAAAAGAAAGTAACACTCATTTCTTGCTGCAACTATATATAGAAGTAAGCATACATGACACTAGCGTCAGAGACAGGAGAATGGAGCTAAGCTGTGGAATTGTCAAACTGGTTCTTCAATTGTTTGGGGAGTGATAAAAGTTACTAATTTAAGGTAGACTGTAATGGGGATATATAGGGACATCTTCAAGGTAACTGCTATAAAAATAAAAGAGGTACAACTAAGAAGCTAATAGCAGAGAAAGATGACTTAAAACTACTGAATTGATTGAAAAGATTAAAAAATGAGAAATAAAGGCCCAAAGAACAAAAGGAACAAATAGGAAACAAATAACAATATATTATTAAACCCAATTATATCAGTAAGTATATTAATTGTACGTGGGCTAAGCACTCCAAATAAAAGACAAAGATCGTCAGACTGGATACAAAAAGCAAAATGTTTCTCTGTTTGAAAAATAAAGGCCCACTTCAAATTTAAGAAAAGAAATAGATTGGAAGTAAAAGAATAGAAAAAATTATCCTACACAAGCCCTAACCAAAAGAAAGTGATGTAACTATGTTAAAATCAGATAAAGTGGACTCTAAGGAAGAAGTGTCAATAGAGACAATGAGAAGCATTTTATTATTATGTGATTCAACAGGAAGACATAATAATCTTAAACCGTATTCATCAGATAACAACTACAGGGAGAAACAGGCACATCCTTCGTCACAGAAGGTAATCACAACACAGCTCTTTCAGGAACTAACAGAACAACAGGTAAAACTCCAGTAAGAACATGGAAGATTTGAACAACATTGCTACCCAACTTGATCTAAATGACAAATGCAGAACACTAAACCCAGTGACCGCAGAATACACTTTCTCTTCAAGTTCACGTGAAACATTTTCCAAAATAGATGTTAGGCTGTAAAGCCAGCCTCAACAATTTCAAGTGATCGAAGTCATATTGAGTATGTTCTCTGACTATGGAGGAAATAACCTAGAATTAGTAAAGGAAAAGTAACT